TGCTGTGGGGGGGAGGGGGGGGGGGGTGCCCTGTCTGTGAGGAAAGAGGGAGGGGGGTGTCCTGTCTGTGAGGAAAGAGGGAGGGGGGTGTCCTGTCTGTGAGGAAAGAGGGAGGGGGGTGCCCTGTCTGTGAGGAAAGAGGGAGGGGGGTGTCCTGTCTGTGAGGAAAGAGGGAGGGGGGTGTCCTGTCTGTGAGGGAGAAGGGGTGGGGTGCATGACTTTGCTCTGGATAAAGGAGGTTATACTGTGTGATTGAAGTGAACTAAGGTGTGCTGACTTGGCGTGGGAGGAAGGGTCAGTTTGAATGAATACATAATAAATTCTCTTTCACTAACCTGGCATGAGTGTGGTATTTTCTTTACTCTCTGTATTTTCCCTTTTGATATTTTCTGGTTATTGTTGTTCATCTTTGTTGTTGTGACATTTATCTAGTTTTGATGAAATTAAAAATTTCAGTTATTTCCCTCTCCCTTTACTTTTAAGTGAATTAAAAATTTGAAAGTTTAAGTGAGTATAATAAAGTCTTAACATCATTGGTAGGGTAAATTCTTTTGTCATGGAATTAAAGAATTATGTTTTACTAAAATCTCATGAATAATTGACCTTCAATATTTGTTGTTTGGCACAGTGACTTATAATAACAGCTAAATTCATTAAAGAGGTCAACAGTAGAAAGACAAAGTTTAATATTGAATCTGTCCTTGCTGTTATTTTGATTGTTAATATAGGGAAAATGAATGATTGTAGAACTGATTAAGTTGTATATTCTAACCCGTGATAATGTTAACTGTGAGTCCTCAGTTATCACCCTGCTCTTTGTCCCTGCTTTAGACCCTGTCCAGCACCAGCCTGGGGCTAGAGGAGGATGCCAGTGAAGACAGGAGTGACGAGGAGAAGCAGGGACAGTGGATGAGAAGACGGAGACTTGATGGTTCGCTAAACAGGGTCCCTGTAGGCTTCTATACAAAAGTATGGCAGGTCCTGGAGAGGGTAAGTTAAAGGCAGAATATACCAAAGTATGGCAGGTCCTGGAGAGGGTAAGTTAAAGGCAGAATATACCAAGGTATGGCAGGTCCTGGATAGGGTAAGTTAAAGGCACAATATACCAAAACGTGGCAGGTCCTGGAGAAGGAAAGTTAAAGACACAATATACCAAAGTGTGGCAGGTCCTGGAGAGGGTAAGTTAAAGACACAATATACCAAAGTGTGGCAGGTCCTGGAGAGGGTAAGTTAAAG